ATGCATTGCTCTACTGTGGACCGGGTACAAAATTGGAAAAGAGAATAGCCAGAGGGTATATTGGTATAAATCCATTGGATACTGCTTGTAAACAGCATGATATAGCATACTCTCAATCTGAAGATTTATTAAAAAGACACGCATCAGATAAATTGTTAGGAGATCAGGCTTGGAATAGAGTAAAAGCTAAGGATTCTTCAATCGGTGAAAAAGTAGATGCATTAACTGTTGCTGCTATAATGAAGGGAAAACGAAAGCTTGGAATGGGTATAAAGAAGAAAAAGGAAAAAGGTGGAAAAACTTAAGATGAAGAAAAAACGTATAATTCGAACACCTGAGAAAATTGGGGGACTTTTACCACTTTTGCTCCCAATATTGGGAGCGTTAGGTGCACTAGGTGGAGGTGCTGCAGGAATTGCCAAAGCAGACAATGATGCTAAAGCATCTAAACAGCAGTTAGAAGAAATGCATAGACATAATATAGCAATGGAGGATGTTTCTAAAGGAATAGGATTATTTATTAAACCGTATAAGGGAAAGAGACTTTTTATAAAACCGTCGTATAAAGGTGGTAAACTTGGTATAAAAAAAGACCAAAGATTAACATAAGTTTTCCACGTAGACCGCTTACAAATATTGACATTATTAAGTATGTAAAGGTAATGAAAATTCCTAATTTCAGAGGTGTATTTATGCTTGATGAACTTCCAAATACAATATCTTTAAAAGAGTGTGGTGTTGTTAATTTAGATAGGAAGCAAAATAAAGGAACACATTGGACTTCATACATTAAAAATGATAATCATGTTGTATACTTTGATAGTTATGGAAATTTAAAACAACCTCTTGAACTTTCAAAATATTTAAAAAAAAAAAAAAAAAAAAAAAATATTTTACACATATGAAATAAACAAAATAATTCATACAACTGCACAACTTTCTAAAATTTAAAAAATAATATATAAGCTAATAACATAATAAAATAGCATTTACAATAATGTCTACAACAATATCAATATCAGGAAACAGTTCAGTTTTATCAGCTGATTTCAATCCACCTATATATTTGGATGATAAAACAATATTACTTTAGGTTTAGCAGATTTTGAACTTTATGACTATACCCAATATAGAAAAGGGTCACAATAAACTTTATATAGGTGATAAAGTGATTGTTATTCCAGATGGAACTTATGATATAATTGACATAGAAACATATATAAAAGATAAAGTTAAAACTGTGTTTGAAAATGAGAACGTTGCTTTTTTATTAAAACCTAATACTAATACACTGAAATGTACCTTAATGTGTAGCAACAAACGATTTACAAAAAGATGATTTAATAGGAAAAATACTAGGATTTAAAAGTAGAGTCATAGAAGCTGATAAAGTAGATCATTCAGATAATGTTGCTAATATAAGTAAAGTCAATGCTATTTGCATTGATTGTAATATCTGTGTTGGTTCATTTAGTAATGGAAAACCTGTTCATATTAATCACCAATTTTATCCTGCTCTAGCTCCAGGGTATGGGGCCAGTTGAATCTCCTTTTACCCATATTATATTTTCCAGTCAGCGTTAAAGCAATTAACAATATTACAGTAAAAATTGTTGATCAAGACGGAGATCTTATCAGCTTCAGGGGTGAGACTATTACAGTAAGATTACATTTAAAAACAAACGGTTTAAAAATGGTTGTTAGATATATAATAGAGGTAATATAAATTCATTCTCCAGTTATTCCTAATAAAATAAAACTTATAAAAAGAGATTGACACAAAAATGATTCAGTGTCAAATCCAACACCAATCGATTAACACGAAAAAATCATAATTTTCTAAAATCGCTAGGTTTTAAAGTCTTAATATAATGAGTATATTAAATGTAAACGAAAAGTTATATATTGATAACTCTATTGTTAGTTCTGAATTACATACCTATCAACCTTACATTTCTTCAAAATTTGACTATAATGATGAAATACGTACACCAATCCAAGAACTTGATGCTTACACCATCAGAAAGCCTACTATATATCGAAGGAAAGTTAACAAACACAGAGGGAAATTATACAAAGAGATTGCGATTTACAAACAATGGTATAGCTTTCTTATTTAGAGAAATTTGTTATGAGTTAGATGGTATTACTATTGATGCCTTAAGAAATGTAGGACTAGCATCAACACTAAAAAGTTATCTATCCAGTAACACAAATGAAAGTTTAAAACTGCAAAATGCAGGTTGGTTTCCACATAGAAAAGAAGAGGATAGAATCTTAGTTGATGATAATGGAAAATTCTCCGTATCTATCCCATTAAAACTGCTAATGGGATTCTTTAAAGATTATAGAAAATTATACCATGTTGCAGCAGCCCTTATTAGATCTAATAATGACTTAGATGGAGTTTTCTTTAAGGATGATGTGACACCTCCATCTACAACTTTAGAAACCCCAAAAGTTACTTTTGATAAAATCTATTGGAAAGTACCGCACATTTTAGTTGATATACCACAACAACTAGCTCTCACTAGAATATTGGAGTCAAATAAAGATATAGTAATTGGATTTAGAAGCTGGTTAGAACTTGTTGAGTACTCTTCCCTAACTGAAACAACACGACACACATGGCCTGTAAAAACAACTAGTAAACTTGAAGCTCCCCGTCATGTAATAATTGCCTTTCAAGAAAATCGAAAAGGAAATGTTAAAAAAGATATGAGTCAATTTGACGATGTAGATTTAACAAATATCAGAATATTTTTAAATTCGAAAGGTATCCTTATCATGACTTATATTTAAATTCCAAAGAGAACAACATTCATCTTATATGAAATGTTTGCAAATCTTCGCTATTCTTATTATGGTACTTCTAATGAACCCATTTTTAATCCTGAAAAATTCAAGGAGATTTCACCAATTGCATATATTGATTGCTCTCGCCAAAAGGAAACGCTTCAAACGGGTTCTGTTGTAATGAGAATTGAGTTCGAAACAAACAGTGCAATCAAAAGAGATACATCTGCTTATTGTCTTATTTTACATGATAAATTATTTAGTTACAATCCTCTAACAAAGATTGTTAAACAATTATAAACTTTTACCCCCACTCTCTTAATATTTAGATTTAATATAAAATATCTAAACAAAGTCTGTAGTAGTAGACATGTCTTCAACACTACAACTAGAAATACAAAATTTTATTTTAAAATACAAAAATTGAAAGAACAAATTGCAAATTATTCAAGGCAAAAAAGTCTGATTAAAAAGTTTAATGAACTAAAAATATGAGGCTGATTGTGGATATACAAGGATTTAAAGATGAGAAAAACACCTTTTACCTAAAGAACTTGCAGCCTTTGATGGACATAGAATCTCACATTATATGTTTAAAAAACCCTATCCATTAGACTTTCTGTCACCAGAATGTTACAGACAGGCGGTATGGTTAATGAAAAACCATCATTGTATCAACTGGAATGAAGGATTTACACTTCACCATTATTTTTCAAATATAATTGAAAAGCTCACTGAAGAAGTAGAAGTGGAATTTGTTTATAGCGAGTTGAAAAGCTGTGTTTGTGAAGAAATAAATATTCCAAAACCAGTGATTGAAATAGATGAACAACCAGCTTTGCCTATCGGAACACCAAAATGCTTTTATCATTCTAAGTCAACTTGTAAGTGTGCATTATCAAATGTATTTTATTAGGTTGATAATTTTTTATGAATGAATAAAATATATAATATTTATTACATCTTTTATTATTAAAATATACTTTTAACTAAATTACTGCCTGACAACTAAGTTAATGGATGAATTATCCTGGTTAACTAAGTGTCTATTTATGTTAGTTTTTACATCATCTGTTACTTGTTCGTAGGCTATTTTCCATTTTAACAAATTGATTTAAATATGTTATTTGGATTTATAAACCTAAGTCTATCAATACAGAGAATAATTCTAATATATCATAATTTTCGTAATATTGTGCACACGCACTCATTCCTTTTTCATATTTATGAATCATATCATAATACAGTTTCTCCATCTGTCTAAGTTTTTGATAAGTTTTAAGAAATAATTCATAAAGTTCTTGATGAATACATATTACTGCACTAACAAGTTCAATATTCTCACTTGACATTTTTCACCTTAAACAAAATATAGTTTTTTTAAATATTTCGAGCACGATATTGACGAAGAGGTCTCTGTTTTCTTGATATTGTAGTCCCAACTTCTCCGGGTTGTGGTAACTTGTCTTTAAATCTTCGCAGTAACTGATCTCTAGCGTCATCCAAATGGAATCTCTTGAAAACCTTTAAAATTTCTATTATAACTTTTGAATTCTTCGTTACTCTCAGGTGTGGAACAATGTGTGTTAGTTCACTTGTAAAATATGTATGTCCCAATGCACGCACAAACTCATAAGATTAACTTTGTAATAGAAAATCAGCAAAAAACTCAGTTATCCTATGACAATCTTCTTTCAGTGGAAAATAAATCTTTTGATTAATTAAACTATTCGATGAGAAACAGTTTGACGGAAATCAGTATATTTTTGTATCAGCTTTCTAACAACATTAGTTATTTTTTCTATTGTATTGCATCACTCTCGATGAATGAGAGATTCGCTTTACTTTCTTCTAAAGACCTACCTTACTAGCTATATATGACTAGCTATATATGACTAGGTAAATAAAGGGGGGGATGAAAGTAGTAGGAATTAAATGTATATTATTAGTATGAGGAGGAGGAGGAGGAGTATAATGAGGAGGAGGATCTCTCATATATTATCTACTTCAGTAATATACATGAAAGTTTTTAACATAGTTTATTTTATTCTAACGGCGGCTGAGATAATAGATTTATACCGAATCGATAAGAGAAAGTTTTGGCAAGGCCGCCTTTAAGGGGATTTGGTACTTTAGGCACCATTTATTTTGCTGCCCCTTCAACTAATAAAATTCAAGTAAATTTTGTTATACGGCCTGCCGCTCTAGGCAGCTGCCTATCTTGCCTAATGTATAAAGCGGCACTGGTCAGCATTTACTGAGGGAGGGGTAAACCGTTGGTGTATTTTGGTGTACAAGATGTTGACATTACTTGGTATTAGTGGTATTAATCGTGGTATTAGTTGGAATTTTTTCCATTATACGTGGTATTAGTGTACAGAAATTTGTCAGTGGCTTACCCCTCGGCATTTACTTACATGTGTAGAAGTGAATCGCTATGGCGATGTAAATCGGAGAGAAAAAAATCCAAGTTTATTAGGCATTCACTTAATCCGACGTTTTACTTCATGGTTACGCTTGGGAAAATTCTTACTCTTCTCTCTTATATCGTATTGCACTGAACACATTGACTGTACTCTTCGTACACACGACAATTACTGTCCTCCATTCACGCAGTTGTGCAGTTCTGAACTGTTCAAGAACGCGATAATCTCACTCCATTCAATTGAGTCAAAGTTCCAGAACTGTTCCGCGCCATATGAAGGCACAAGGCTATCGCGCACAGCTTTCAGAACCGTTCTCGAGTAGCCCAGAGCGTAAAGCTCTAGAACTTGAAATTCGCGATCGGAGGACAGCAAATCGGTATCCAAAGCCGTATGTACGTATAATTAAACAACTAACCGTAAAACATGCTATTACTTAATCACGTACATCCGTAGTTACTTAATAAAATAGGTAATCACCAATTACATAATGTATTAAATTGCGCAAATTCTATTGTCGACCGATCCGAGTTAATAGGTAATAAACTTCGCATTCTTCTCTCGTATTATAGAGTCTTTTCTTTCTCAGTTTATCGTATTGTACTGAACATGTTGACTGTACTCTTCATATACACGACAACTGGCACCCAAAGCCACGTATTATTAAATATAAATTAACCTTTGGGTTAGTTTATTTATTGGTTATTTTTTGCTTCTTTTTTACGTTAGTGACGTACATCCGCAGATACCTAATATAGCAGATAATCAGTTAATTACATAACGTAGTAAATAGCGCAAATTCTATTGTTGACATGTTGACCATTGTAATCAGTATAATTATGTATCATTGTAATTATGTACTAAATAATTATAGAGGTGTATATGATACATTGATGACAGACAAATGATTGATTATATTGTTAAGTGCTATAACCTAGTACAAAATTAAAAAAGTAATTTTTAAATAAAGTTAAAGTAAGTTCTGGAAAATATATCCACATTACTATTATTAATGCGAACTCTTATCGATTTATAATTTGGGATAAACATTGACATGAGTCATCTTTTTATTACTATAGTCAATTTTCTGCAGACGGCTTATAAAACGCGGGCACATAAATTTATTATCAATTCAATTTGATAATTTGATTATAATATGTTCTTCAAATACCATTTCGGTATTCATACAAAACGGCTCTTTATTATATCTCTGCCGTACTTATCCATCAATAAATATTTCTTACATATTAGAATAGAGCAGGCCCTAAAATTAATAAATTTAAATTTATTTATCTCTACTCATCCTTGACTCTGATGGACCCTGACATTATGGCCGCTGACTAGAAGGAGAAGGTGGGCGCTGCATTTCAGTCATAGGCGTACTTAAAACTAAATGTTCTTATAGATATATTCAGAATTACTAATTACTCGTTGTCCATTATTATAGACATAGAGGGTTACAAACAGCATTAAAAAGGCTAAAGATAAGTAAAACTTTATATTGATAAGTTTACTGTACCAATATTAGACAAAATAGGTAGTAGGTATATTTCATATTATAACATTATGATAATGTAATACCATACTCACAACCGTTGTAACACTAGTTACACCACCCCGCAGAAATTTAATATTATTATAAATAAATCATTTATTATACACCCTTCAAAAGGTAGCACAACTAGAACCATAAATATACAAATGTATAGTTTTTATTTAAGTGTTACAGTAAACTATACAGCATTATAATAAAGACCAATACTTACCATGCACTGACACAGTTCGTAGATAGGTCGATTTGTTGCGCGAACTAGAGGTGGAAATTCTAGTTCCCTGGGAGGAACTAGCTCCTAGTAGTTCTAGTTCCTCCAGAGGAATAGTTCCTTGAACTAGGTCTTTAGTTCACAATAGTTCCTGACTAACATTGACATCCCCCTTGCTTGCTAATGCGTTTAGTTGTCAGTCAAAACTATTCACAGTATGATCTGTATAATTTTTATAATATACGGAGATATAACGAGACGTGTAATTGTGTATGTTAAAAACATATAGGTAAGTTTTATTGCAGATAAAAAAAATAAAAAAGAAACTCAAATTAGAGTTTAAAAAACTATGTCACAAATCAATTGGAGCAAATATTACAAAAATTTTACGAAAAAAAATTGTCTAAAAATTCAGAATATCTACTTCGTTCTATAAGATATTTCTGAATTTTAGGGACCTGAAGTGAAACATTTCCATAAAATATTTAAGACAAGCTAAAAATCAAAAACAGTATTTACGACAATTTTCTGTGGTAATTACGCCGGCTGTGGCAATAGACAATGCCGAATCCATCGTCGTCGCCTTGTATTATATCTCGGATCTGCCGACTGAATAGATTCCCGTGAACTAGTCTTTTAATTAGTTTATAACGCAACCTTGGGTGAAAAAGTTTATAATGAGAACTCAGATTCACCAGGTTCCGTTACGAATAGGTTCCAGCTAGCTCAGTAAATAATTAAGTAAAATATAAACAGAACAAGAGATATCAAACGGAGGTGTATGGAAAAAGTGTACTGATTGAAAAGTCCAAAATGTACT